CTAGCCAGGCAAGGTGGGCAGGGAATCTAACCTAACACACAGTGGAGACATCTGTCTACATCCTAGTACATATCCAGGAGACAGAGTATCAGGTCACATGATCAGGCTCAGATAAACAGTTGTCAGCTGCAGAGGGCAAGGCAGCTAAGGAGACAGACAGGGGGTGGGTGTTCTCCCTCCACCACAACAGACCAGAGAAGCCGGGAAATGGACACCTGCCCTTGGGGCAAGGACAACAGCCAGGACTAAACATTCCATGGGCCACTGGACCTAACTGTAGAGACCAGAAGCTCAGGAGGAGATAGAGTTGCAGTTGTGGAGAATGGCAAGTAGAGAGGGGAACTCCTGTCCTGAATACTAATCCAGGCATGAGACCTGCCTGGTAGTTAGTCATCCCCATTTTACAGGTAAGAACACAGAGGTTTACCAAGGTCTGAGTCACTAGAGATTGAGTCTAAATCTCATTTACATCACACAGTGACCCCTGGACAGAGGCAAAACTCTTAGTTGCTTTTTTTTTTTTTTCCCAATGCATATACAGTGTCAGCTGCCCTCACTCACTTACAGAGCTGTCCCCTCAGGAAAAGGCCACATGTCAAAGGCCTGCCTGGTGTTATGCGTGGTTGGTGAGATTTGGTTCTGGTGTGGTAGTGTCAGTGTTTGTGGACACTTTAAAATGCAGGCATGGACCCGAGATGGCTTGGTGGTTGGGAGTGTTGGCTGCTCCCGCAGAGGACCGTGGTTTAATTCTCAGCATCCATGTGCTGTCTCACAACCATAATCCCAATTCCAGGAGACCCAAGCCCTCTTCTGACTTCTAAAGGCGCTAGGCACACAGGTGGTATACACACATGCATTCAGGCAAAACATTCATACACATAAATACAACTTTTTAAATTGCAGAGCAGAAGGCTGAGAAGGTGGGGGCGGGGGGTAGTATTGCCTTAGCATACCCAAAGCCCTGGGTCTGGGGCCAGCACTGCACAAACCAGATACTGTGGCACATGACTGTAATCCCAGCATTTAGAAGGTAGAGTTTGGAGGATCAGAAATTCGATGTCCTCTTCAGCTACATAGGCAGTTCGAGGTCAAGGTTGATAAATAAAGCTGTTTGGCCCATGGCAAGGCAGCTTAGAGGCAGGCAGGAAATTCAAAGAGAGAGACAGGAAGAAGTGGGGGGGCGGGCAGAGACACCAGCGAACCACCCAAGGAGCAACATGTAATGGGACGCAGGTAAAGCCACAGAACATGTGGCGATACATAGATTAATAGTTATGAGCTAATCTAAGATATAAGAGCTAGCTAGCTAAAGGCTTGAGCCATGGCCGTGCAGTTATAATTAATATAAAACTCTGTGTGTTTATTTGGGGGACGTGAGTGGAAGAGATTTGTCCCGATCACCAGCAGGCCGGGACACAAGAAATCTTCCAGCAACAAGGTGAGACCCTGTGATAAGAGGTCCTTAGGTTACAGAGAGCACAACCTTCTGAAGGGATTCACATGTTCCTCCAGGGGGCCATGAATTTGTTCTCCTGAGAGTACTATTATAAACAGTCATCATAGCTTTCCCCTCACCCTGGCAATCCTATCTGACCCCATGATTCCTCCAACCCACACTTGATCCTGCTATGCTGATGGTCTCCTATGAGGACCCTCAACAGTGAATTTATGCCAACACCATACTCACAAACTTTTCTTACAAAGCTCATTGGCATTGGGTATTTCATTATTATAACTGCTGTGCCCAGATCGTGACCCTCAGAGAGACCAACGAGGACAAGCGTACCAGAATGCAAAAGCAAGGTTTATTTCCATTACAAGTTGTGACAGGGAACTCATCTTAAGCACTCACTGACCACAGCGCAGTGAGGCAGGGAGGAGTCACTCTTTCTTGGGGAAGTTAGTTTTTATAGGCAAAAACCATAAAATTTCTTAGAGGGGAAGGGGTTAGTATGGGTCCATCCTTGATTGGTCCAGTTTTTCCTGGGCCTGGACTTTGTCTTATTTTAGCTTATCTGTTTGCCCTGTCAGGAGTTTTACAACCCATCTCTGGGGTCTGGTCATGTTATCTCCGGAGAGGGGCATCTCATGGTTAATCGGTCACTACCAGACATCCTGACTTTGTTCTTTTGAAGACACCTGACTTTACCCTCTCCAGGAAGGGGGAACTGACTCAGTTCTGGTTTTTTTTTTTTTTTTTTTTTTTGGTTTTTCAAGACAGGGTTTCTCTGTGTAGCTTTGCGCCTTTCCTGGAACTCACTTGGTAGCCCAGGCTGGCCTTAAACTCACAGAGATCCGCCTGGCTCTGCCTCCCGAGTGCTGGGATTAAAGGCGTGCGCCACCACCGCCTAGCCCTCTGTTTTAAGATATCTCTTTCCTCAGCTCTTCTGGGTTTGGGGGGGAACTGTGTCTGGGCCTTTGGTGGGGGTCTTTCAATAACAACAGGTACTTGGAAGTTCTCTGACATCAGTGATGAGGATCCTGCCTTGCCTATCTCTATCTATTCAACAATCTTGACATATCTTTGTGAAATCTGCACACAAATCTTCAAGTTACCTGTCAGACCTACAGCAGCAGACAGGGCAGACTTCCTGTCCCCACAAAGGTTCATAGTCCTATGCCAGCTTAATGGCTCTCAGCAAAGCAAGGTGCTTGCTGCCAAGCCCAAAAACTTGAGTTCAATCCCAGGGATCCACATGGTGGGAAGAAAGAACTGACTCCTGCAATTGTCTTCTGACCTCACACACACACACACACACACACACACACACACACACACACACACACACGTAAACAAATATGTTTTTTAGAAGGTCATAGTCCTAACAGAGAGGTGAGGAAGCAGTCAGGAATCCTGTGAAATGCCCAGGTGCCTTAAGATTACAACAGAGAGGGGTTGGGGATTCAGCTCAGTGATAGAGCGCTTGCCTAGCAAGTGCTAGGCCCCGGGTTCGATCCTCAGCTCCAAAAAAAAAAAAAAAAAAAAAAAAAAAAAAAAGATTACAACAGAGAAAAGCCCCAAGGTAAAAAAGGAACCCTAGGGTGTTCCTTGCCCTTCCAGGAGCAGCAAGAAGGCTTCTGGAAGCCACTCTGAGCTGAGCCAACAAGGAGAAGTAGATCACTAGTGAGAAGGAGGAGGGAGTGCAAGTGAGCGAGGAAACAGCTTGTGCAAGGCATGGGGTGTGGCACTTTCCAGGGACAGCTCCCCGAACCGAGTCACCCTGTCATCATCCTGGGCCTATGGCTTCCAAAGGGAAGGGGGGGGGCAGGCCACACACCAGGTGAGCAGGGGTCAAAGCTGGAAGTTCTGGGGATGCTAGGAACAGATTTGCATTTCAGAGTATCCCAGCAGAACAGTGGACAATCAGGCAAAAGGAGAGCAGAAAAACCAGTCTGGTCACTGTAGAGCCCCAGGGAAGGACCAGGAAAGGGCTGGGTTTTGGCCTTGGCCCTGGAGATGGAGCCTGGGAACCAGAGGTTACAGCTCTGAAGGGAGCAATTTCTGCAGGACAGGAAAAGTGGACCAAGAGGCACAAAGACCTCACACCCCTGCTGGGTTACCTGGCCTAGTGTATGTCATCTTCTGTCCCAAGAACTCGTGGGACATTTTGTATCACTTGGGAATTTTAGCTCTTATTTTGGCCTGTTTGTATAGAAAAACTTTTATTTTCTGTTTGGCTTTTGCTTTTATCTAGCTGTCTCAGGGATCCTGTGGTTGTGATAAAATACCATATCAAAACCAACCTGGGGACACAAGGTTTTATTTTAACTTACAGGTCCAGTCACTGCCATCATGGAGGGAAGTCGTGGCAGGAACTCAAGAGTGGAACTGAAGCAAAGCCATGGAGGGGTGCTGCTTAATGACCTGCTCCCACATAGCTTGTTCAGCCTGCTTTCTTAAAACACCTCAGAATCACCTGCCCAAGGGTGGGTGGCATCATTCACAATGAGCCTCCCACATCAACCACAAATGTTATGGAGGCATTTTTCTCAATTAAGATTTCCTCGTCTTAGATATGTCTAGGAAAACTTTGGGGTGTTGCTTCTCTCCTTATACCCAGGGGTCAAACTCGGGTCATCAGGTTTGGCAGCAGGCACCTTTATCTGCTGAGCCATTTCACCAGCCATAACTATTTTAAAACGTGGGCGTGGAGGTGGCCATTCTTGTGCTAAGGCATGCATGTGGAATCCAGAAGACAACCTGAAGGAATGGTTCTCTCCCTCTAACATGGGGGGCTGGGTACACTGGACGCAAGTTCTCAGGCTTGGTAGTAAGCATCTGTACCTGCTGGGCCATCTTGCTGGTCATTAATAGAGTGTTCTAAAGAGAAGTTTAATTTTACAGAGAAACTGAGAAAATAAAAAAATTCAGGATCTTATATACCTCTCTATCTCTGGCCCTGACTACCCATCATTTTATTTCATTAGTGTGAAATGTTTGTTAAAGTTGACGTACCAAGGTACAAAGTATTATTAATTAAAGCCATGCCCTAGTAAGAGTTTCAAGCGATCTGCAACTAAAAGAAACAAAACTGCGGATTTTACCAGCAGCGGAAAGCATTCTAACTGGTGGGAAGGGCAAGCAGGTGACAGTGTCAGCATGATGGTCATCAGTGGGGACCCACCTGCCGGGTCCCCCTTTGGTTTTTGTTACTTGATTTCTTAAAATAAGGTCTCATGTAGCTCAGCCTGGCCTCAAATTCACTCTATAGCCAAGGATGACCACGACCTTGAATTCTGCATCTATCTCCTGAGTGCTGGGATTGCAGGAGTGTGCTGCCGTGACTGGCTGTATGCGGTGCTTGGACTGAACTCAGGGCTTCATGCATGCCAGGCAAGTACTCCACCATTGATCAGCATCATCCCCAGACCCACCCATCCTCTTCCTATTCTACCCATACTTTCGGAATTCAGTAGCAACGGAAGCTCAAGGCTGAACTGACCCCATAGAAAACAGTGTCTTCATCCCCTAATTCAAAAAGACCAAAGGCACACTGGTGTGAAGGCAAAGATTATTTGCACATTTTATTTAAAAGGAAACAGCTTTAAGATAAAAAGGCAGATGTTTTCTTTATTGCAAAGACAACAGTTACAAAAGAGAAGTAATAAATATGACATTGGGATTTTTTGTTTGTTTGTTTGTTTGTTAAAAAATACAACCCCCTGGAATTTGTGAGAAATCCCAAGAACTCACAAGATACAAAAATTTGTCCCACGCTGACAATACCTTTCCTTTAGCTCCTTGGAGCTGATGTCAGACACTGGAAGATGGCCACAACTTCTGGGATTTCAAAAGATCTTGATGTGTCACTTGAGAATTTCAGGGGTCCACTCTGATTTGCATGGAGCCAGGTGACAGATATCCTTCTGCTCATTAACATTACTTCCAACAATTCTTTTGTTCTTACAGTAAAGGACTTAGGAGTGGGGAAATGGCTGAAATAGAAAGAAAAGGATGAGGGGGAACTAGAGGGTAGGCATTGTTAGGGGCCAGGAGACAGGCAATATGAGAGGGCGCAGGTAATGATCCACACAAGTCCTCCTTCAAATCCCACCATGACATTAGGATGGAAGCCAGTGAAAAAGAAGTCAATGCAATCTGAGTAGAGAGATGGTGGCCAGGAAACAATGCAAGGACCACCGGGAAGAACCATCCAAGAAAGAGGCAACATGTCCTCTGAGGACCATAGATGAACAGGACTCGTTGACACAGAACCACGCAGGGACAAAGACTGTTTTCAAGAAGAAACAAGTCTCGGCTACAGATAACAGCAGAGGAGCGAAGGCAGGAAAGGCCAACTGGGCAAGCCTTTTCCGAAGAGGCCAGGACCCTGGGAAGGATAAAAGCAGCCTCTGGTTATCCAGAGGCACTAAAACACAAGCCTGGGGTGTCGGGGGGAGGAGGGGGTCATTCAGGCAGAGAGGAAAAAAATGTGAAAATTCTGGTCATCTCCTCCAGGGCGTCAAGAAGGCACAGCTGTGGTCATGGGTCAGGTCAGCAGGACTATGTGCTGAAAGCAGCCTTGAGCTCCTGGAAGGCTGCCTGGCGGAGCCTCCTAGTCTCCTCCTCCCGTTTCCGCTCATCTTGTTCAGCTTTTAACTCAGCTTCAAATCTGCTGGAGCATGACAAGGCCTGGGCCTGCAGAGAAAACAGATGACACAGTAAGGCCACGGAAGGGTGCAGGGGCATTGACACCAAGCAGCGGACATGCAAACCTTGGACAAATGGAGCTGTCACTGCCGAGAGCAGGGCCTCCAGTGACACTTCCTTTGGTCCAAGGTAAGTGCTGATACCATTGCTTTACTGGTGGCTGACTTCTACCTGCTCCTATCTTCTGGGTTTGTTCATTCTCGATTCTTTTTGGGGGTAGTAGTGAGTGTTCACTACTTCATGATGGTGGGCCAGCTCCACGGCGAAGCCGCTTCCCCAGACTCTTTCCCACACGTACGTTCCTTTGGTTTCACAACGACTTCACTCCACTCTGGTGGACCGGTGCTGAACCAGGGTCAGTGCCGCTCTCAGACCGCAGCAGCGGCGAAGGATCTTTGTGCGCCAGATAGAGGGCAGTTGACACAGAGACTCAGCACTGGTCAAGGTGCAGGGAACAAGTGACCATGGAATACTTAGGCGCAAACGTGACGCCTCCATCATACTCCCTCCCCAGGGCTCAGGGAGAATCATGGGAGAGTGGGTGGAAGCAGGAAGAGCTAGAGGGTGGGGGTGGGGGTGGAAAGAGTGACGGCTGTGTTCAGACGCTCACAGCAGCTGCGGTCGCCTGCACGAGACCTGCACACCATCAAGCCAGTCCCCATTCCAGCACGGAGTAGAGCAGGAAGGGGTTCATGAGCCCCCATCCTTGGGGACCTATGGGCAGCTGATGGCTTCTGGGAGAAAGAGTCAGTTTTCGCCAAGGGTGTGGCTCCTGGTAGGCCGACCTTGCTCCAGTGGATGGCCACACACCCAGAAGTACATGGGTAGCACAAATTGGAGTCAATAGGTTTTTGTTTTGTTTTTAAGTTTTTTGAGACAGGGTTTCTCTGTGTAGCCCTGACTGTCCTGGAGCTCGTTCTGTAGACCAGGCTGGCCTCAAACTCACAGAGATCCGCCTGCCAGTGCTGGGATTAAAGGTGTGGGCCACCTCCACCTGGCATTTTTATTTTGTTTAAGAGATGCAAGTTGTGGGGTGGAGAAGAGGTGGACTTGGGAAAAGTTAAAGTGAGGAATTGGGGACAAATATGATCAAAATTCATTGTATAAAATTGTGTGAAATTTTCAAGGAATTAAAAAATATTCTTAAAACATTGCTATATTCTAGGTGGAAGAATGAAAGTAAATGCCTTGGAAGTATTTGATTGGGATTGCATCTGATAATGGGCTGCAAGAGGAAATCTTCATTATAGCTTTCCGAATTATGTGGAGGCTGGGAGGCAGACCTGCATCCTCTAGAAGAGAAGACATACTCTTAACCACTGAGCCATCTCTCCAACCCCAATGCATCAGTTATTGTTCAGTGCTGCTTCTGTGTTCCCATCAACATTTTAGTTCTGGGCTGGAATATAATTCAGTGACTGAGGACTTAGCTGGCATGCATGAGGTCCTGGGTTCAATCCTTAGTAACTACAAAAAGCAAATATATTTTTAAACCTCTCTCAGTCATTCTAAATTTACTTCTAAATATTACATTTTTGGTTTGCTTTGGATATATATATATATATATATATATATATATATATATATATATTAATACATGTTTAGCTACGTGCAATGGCTCATGCTTGCAATCCTAACACTCAGAAGGTAGTATTGAGTTCAAGGCCAATCTGGACATTCAGAGTTCTAGACTGGCCAGAGCTACAGCGTGAGGTCCAATCTTCAAATTAAATAAATAAAGTAAACATTACAGGTTTTTGCTTGTATTTTGAGTGGATTTTATAATATCTATTTTTTTAAACTTGATTTCTCTTTAATAATACTCTATCAGGGGCTTGGGATACAATCCAGTTGGTAGACTGCTTGCCTAGCAGGTATGAAGCCCCATATTAGTCCCTAGTCCCCCAAAAACGGGATGTGGTGGCAAAGGCCTGCAATCCCAGACCTCAGGAGGTAGAGGCAGAGGATCAGAAGTGTGTGGCCATCCCTGGCTGCATAGCCAGTGTGAGGAAAGCCTGAGACACACGAGACAGGTTACAGTTGTAGTAATAATGATACCTTATCAGCTAAAACCGTTTCAAAACCCTCCCTTCTAGAACTGACTTTTTTCTGTGGCTAAACATTGGTACCATGTCTCAGCGGCACACTGAGTGTGCATGTGATTTTAATGAAGGTTATGATACAGCCCTTGAAGGCAGCTGTTCCGGTTTACGCCCCCAACATCATGAACCGGAAGCCCTCCCACATAGACTTGGCCCAAGCTTTCCGTGATCAACCTCTCTTACCAATCTGCTGGTCAAATATTGTCTTCTCTCATTTCCTCCCTGGAGAATTACCCACTCGGATCACTCACCCACTTTCATGTTCAGCTGTTTTTCTCTTCCAACTTGCAGTTCTCTACATAATTTAATATTAATTCCTTACTATTAATCTTTCTGTAGTCTTCTTATCTTGACTGGTCTTTTAAAGTATCTTGGACCCCCAAAGTGCTTAAAGTCTTGATGTAGTTTATCAACCATTTCCTCTTGCCTCTTCTGTTACATTTAAGAAGGTCTCCAATACTCTAAATACCTCCAACATTTCAAATCCATTTTTCTGTATTTCTTTCTAATACTTTTATGGTTTTCTCATGTGGATCTTCTGTATTTTGCTCATGTAGTCCAGGCTGGCCTTGTACTCACTGTGTAGCCCAAACTTGCTGTGGAATAATAATAATAATCTTGTACACTGTAAAAATTTGTCACTCAAGTTGGTGTAATAAAATGCTGATTGGCCTATAGCCAGGCAGGAAGTATAGGCAGGGCAACCAAACCAAGAATGCTGGGAAGAGGAAGGGCGGAGTCAGAAGTCACCAGCCAGATGCAGAGGAAACAAGATAGGAATACTGTATTCTATTTCTTGTTATCCTAAGATCTCTGAAGTACTGAATTATAGGTATGCACTACCACATAGGGCCCTGATTTAAGATTCTCACAGCTACATTTCTCTTTTTTAATTTAAAATTTTTCATACAATATATGTTTACCCTATTATTTCCCTCCCAGTTACAATTCTTTTGTTTGTTTGTTTGTTTGTTTTTTCGAGACAGGATTTCTCTGTGTAGTTTTGTCCCTTTCCTGGAACTTGCTTTGTAGCCCAGGCTGGCCTCGAACTCACAGAGATCCGCCTGCCTCTGCCTCCCAAGTGCTGGATTAAAGGCGTGTGCCACCAACCACCCAGCTATTGTCTATGTTTTTACAACACTGAGTATCAAGCTGTAGCCCAGTAACAGAAGTGTGTATTTAGCATGAATAAAGCCCTGGATTTGATCCTCAGCACTTAGAGAAAATAATAGATCTCACCACGTGTGTTTGTGCACAAATATAATCCTAGCACTCTGGAGGCAAAGGCAGGAAGATTTCAAATTTGAGGCCGATCTAGGATACATATGAGACCTTATTTTGAAAAGAAGTAAAACAAAATAAAAGCACATACTAAGTCTCCACACCCCTCAATATTTACCTGTATTTAAGTACATAGGTTATGTGCAAATGTACGCCGCCTCGTGTGTGTGTGTGTGTGTGTGTGTGTGTGTGTGTGTGTGTGTGTGTATGTGTATGTGTGTATGAGAAGGTTCATGCAGAGGCAGAGGAGGGGACAGCTTTGACTCTAGCTCCTCAGGTGTCCATCTTGTTTGGCACTCAAGGCTGGCTGGCTAGGGAACCCCAAGGATCCACATACACTACCATGCCTGGCTTCTTCTTTCTCAGGTAGGTTCAGGGGATTGAACTCAGGTCCACATGCTTGCAAGGCAAGTGCTTTGCCAACTACACTATCTCTCCAGCCCTACATACCATTTTATAGGGATGGGGGTGGTGAGGTGGGGGTGGGGCTTGAGCATATAAAAATGTTCCTACCTGAGGTTTCTGGAACTCCTTCATGTGCACAAAAGGCTAACTACACCCTCAGCTCCCCAGCTGCACTTCCACCTGGCACACCGTCACATCTGCCCACCCCCTCATTAAGGCCCACCCTTCATCACCATGATTTAGCATGCATGCTTCTAAGCTAAAGACACACTTTTTAGATAGATAGATAGATAGATAGATAGATAGATAGATAGATAGATAGATGATAGATAGATAGACAAATGAAAGAAATCTCTTCCACCTAGAGAGAAGGTTCAGTGGTTAACAGCTTAAGAACACTTGCAGAGGACCAAAGTTCAGTTCCTAGCATCCACCTGACAGTTCACAACCATCTGAACTTCCAGTTCCAAGGATTCTGGAACCCGGTTCTGGCCTCTGCAGGCTCAGGGTACACACACATTTATGCAGGCAAAATACTCATATACTTAAAAGCAATAAAAACAAACAAAAACCACTCATAAGAATAGTCGCTAGAATCCAGGCAGTGTGTGGTACATGCCTTTAATTCCAGCACTTGGGAGGCAGAGGCAGGCAGATCTCTGTGAGTTCGAGGCCAGCCTGGTCTACAAAGTGAGTTCCAGGACAGCTAGGACTGTTGTACAGAGAAGCCCTGTCTTGGGAAAAAAAAAGTGACTAGATCTAGATCCACTCGAACTTGGGATTTCCGCCCAAAGCCGGGTCTTCACTGGCCTTCTTCCTCATCTCTCTCCTCACAGTGATCCCTTCCATCTCTGCCTCCTTCAGTTAGAAGAAAACAGATGTAGTCTTTCCACTACCCCAAGGTATGCTGGAGCTGGCTTGTAAATGCTCAAAAACCAACTGCTTCATTCCCAGAATGCCTGTGAGCTGTTGATAAAATTAGTCATTACAAAATTTTAAATTGTGCGAACCTGTAATCAATTGCACCAAAAGCGAACGGGTTGAGTACTGAAGGGCCGTCACTCCGATGACCTCGTTCCCCGTGGCTGTTATCTGCCAGGGCTGCGCCTCCAGCGGGGGATTGCGTGATGACATGGTGACTGGGAAGAGCATCCCTGCTCCACATGCATCCACTTCCCACTGGGAGCCTGAGCTCAGTCT